GTGTTAATAGAACTCTGGTAATATTATTACTGGGAATATAATTACTAAAAATATAATTTTTATGTTCCTGAGTTCAATTTATGAAAAGACGGTTCTAATCATTCTCTATTATCGAATTCCTATTGTGAGATGTTCTTACTGTAGGAAAATGATTTAAGCGATTATTTTCAAACATTGACTTAAAATGGTTTCTCATTTTGTTATTATCAGTTTCATAATTTACACGGTTTGGCACTACGTTAAATAATATAGATGTTGCAAATGCTATTGCATATACTCCACACTCAACACTACCAAAAGGTTGTTGATCAACAGCTTCAAAAACTACTGTTGGTTTAAAAGGGAACAATCTAATTAAATATTTTATTTGAGGAACATTTAAACACCCCTCATTAAGGCTATCAAAAATATAAAGCCTTACTCTATCGTAATAGACACAAATTCAGTGACCATAATAAATTGTTATTACCGCTAAAAAGTATTTGAATATATTTATTACCTTCTCTAATTGGGACAATAAAATCAAGCATTTGTACATACAAAGCACTTTGCATATTGAAAAAAGAATTGGAATCTTTTCTTAATAAATCTTCAAATTTGTACATATGCATGTAATTTAACAATTTATTACTATTTTCAATAATTTTTATATCTTTATCACTTAAAATAACATACTCTTTTATGTTGGCCATAGTATACTTCGTTTAATTTTATTTTTGATTCATGAAAATCTAAATATCTTTAACCCTTTTGCTCACTCTCTCTAATATAACCAATTTTGCCTTTTATTAAATATAACCAATTTTGTCTTTAATTCAATACAACCAATTTTACTTTTTATTAAATATAACCAATTTTTCCTTTAATTCAATACAACTAATTTTACCTTTTACTAAATATAACCAATTTTTCCTTTAATTCAATATAACCAATTTTTACTTTAATCCAATGTAACCAATTTTCTCTTTTATCCAATAAAACTACCAAATATCCAAAAGAATGAGAGAACTATGTGTAACTATGAATCAGTAACTACTGATCAGCCAATAAGTGCAAAAAGGACACTCTTATATGAGTAATCAGTAGTTCATTATAAATAACATATATACCTATTTATACCTGTATTAAGACCCCGGAACAAATACCACAAAAAAACCAGCCATTGGACAATAGAACCTTTGTTAATGAGGATTAACTCTGAGGACCCAGGTAATAATTTCATTTTTCACATTTATTATATAGAAAAATAAAGATGTACCAACCCTTGGCCAATAGAACCTTTGTTAATGAAGATTAACTCTGAGTACATAATGAAATGTACTGTAGGGTGACATTGACATCGGCACGTCCAACGTTTCGAAATTTTTTCCGTGTATTATCACATGGAAATATAAAGATAAAAGTCAAAAACTGAAGAGGTAATGTATATCTTTCTTTCTCACATCAAGGAATATAACATATAAACATTTTCATTTAATATTGCATTTCTCTATCTAAAGGATTCAAAATAACATAAGAATATCTTCGCCTAAAAATCTTACTCTTCTTTTTTTCTGTTTTCAAAATAAAATAAAAAAAGTATATACCAGTATTAGACTCTCAGAACAATTATCACAAACAATACCAATCTCTAATACCAAAGCTCTAATACAGGTAGGGGAGAGTGATAAACAGTGGGACAGTTTAAACAGTAGGACACTTTAATTTTCTGAAAAACTACTTAAAGAAACTCGACCATTTAAATGTAAAGCATGTTTATGACAACACACTGTCTCCAAAAATTTTTGCCACATTGATTCATTATTTACAAAGAAAATTGAAAAAAACTTTTTTTGACGTTACTGAGTAAATTTTTTCTTGAAATACAATGCTGATTTTTATATAAATAGGACAGTTTTAAAAAAAAGTGTAATTGTTACTTCGTTTACTCATGTTTTTAAGTATAACATCCAATAATTTAAAATATTTTAAAATTTTACAAACAATTTTTATTTAAATAATTGCTTGCGATTGCTTAATTTAAACAGTGGGACATTAAACACTAAGACAGCCAAAAATTTAAGTTTATGAAACGTGGATTTTGGCAACACTAATTATAAGTTGTGTCAGCTATACGCATGCGCATTTATACTTACACAGCGACTAAAAATGTGATTTTTTTATGCTAAAAAACATTAAAAAATTTAAAATTTATAATTATTACAATTATTGTTCGGCAACATTTGAAAAATAACACTTGATAAGAGAACGACTATTCAAATTTTCCTCCAAATTGTTTTTAGGTTATGATCAAATTATGACGTATGATCAGCAGTACTGTAAACGTAAAAAAGTAATAGCAATTTTTCATATGAAACTTGACATCGTATTAACACAAACCTTCAAAACAAGAAAAATGTATCAAGTTCCAAAAACTTGAAATTTTTCTATTTAATCACAATATAATTTAAATAGAATATATGCATTATGTAGAAAAGAGTTCAAACTTTATGGGAGACGACTGCTTTTCCCCGAAAGGACAAAATGTCGAATGGACAAAACGTCGAGTGGACAAAATATCGAAAAGCCAAACTGTCGAATGGACAAAATGTCGAAAAGTCAAGACGCCGCATAGTCAAAACGTCGAAAAGCCAAGACGTCGAATGGACAAAATGTCGAAAAGTCAAGACGTCGAATAGCCAAAATGTCGAAAAGCCAAGACGTCGAAAAGTCAAAACTGCGAATGGACTAAATGTCGAAAAGTCAAGACGTCAAATGGTCAAAATGTCTAATGGACAAAATATCGAAAAGTCAAGACGTCGCATAGTCAAAACGTCGAATAGTCAAAACGTCGAATAGTCAAAACGTCGAATAGTCAAAACGTCGAATAGTCAAAACGTCGAAAGGTCAAAATGTCGAATCGCCAAGACGTCGAACGGACAAAATGTCGAATAGCCAAAACGTCGAATAGCCAAAATGTCGAAAAGCCAAGACGTCGAAAAGTCAAAACTGCGAATGGACTAAATGTCGAAAAGTCAAGACGTCAAATGGTCAAAATGTCTAATGGACAAAATATCGAGACGTTATTTTGCTCTGAGTTTCCCTTCTATATAATGCACACTAGTTTAACTGTTTAAAATTAAAAGTTTGTATTATTATTATTATTATACTATAATAATTACTTTACTACTATTGTTATTATTATTATTATTATTATTATTATAAAAAAATGTAAAAAAAACATTAAAAACAATACAACTAGCGATATCTATCGAGTGTTAAACGCAACACAAACTAGTGCATTATATAGAAGGGAAACTCAGAGCAAAATAACGTCTCGATATTTTGTCCATTAGACATTTTGACCATTTGACGTCTTGACTTTTCGACATTTAGTCCATTCGCAGTTTTGACTTTTCGACGTCTTGGCTTTTCGACATTTTGGCTATTCGACGTTTTGGCTATTCGACATTTTGTCCGTTCGACGTCTTGGCGATTCGACATTTTGACCTTTCGACGTTTTGACTATTCGACGTTTTGACTATGCGACGTCTTGACTTTTAGACATTTTGTCCGTTCGACGTCTTGACCATTTGACGTCTTGACTTTTCGACATTTAATCCATTCGCAGTTTTGACTTTTCGACGTCTTGGCTTTTCGACATTTTGGCTATTCGACGTCTTGGCTTTTCGACATTTTGGCTATTCGACGTCTTGACTTTTCGACATTTTGTCCATTCGACGTCTTGGCTTTTCGACATTTTGACCTTTCGACGTTTTGACTATTCGACGTTTTGACTATGCGACGTCTTGACTTTTCGATATTTTGTCCATTCGACGTTTTGCTATTCGACGTTTTGTCCATTCGACATTTTGTTCTTTCGGGGAAAAGCAGTCGTCTCCTTTATGGTAATACTAAAACGTGTCCAAAAATATATAAAATTGACATATTAATATGTCTTTGAAAAAAAGTGTCCCACTGTTTGTCACTCTCCCCTATAAACATATATACAGATATATGAATATTTTTTTTTATTTTTAAAACAAAAAGGAAGAAGATTAAGATTTTAGACGATGATGTTCTTATGACATTTTCAATCGCCTAGATAGAGAAACGCAATGTTAAACAAAGAAGTACTTATGTTATATTCCTTGGTGTAAGAATGAAAGGTATGCGTTACCTATTCAGTTTTAGACTTTCTTTATAGCTTTTTCACGTGATAAAGGGAGAAAGAAATAATTACCTGGGTCCTCAGAGTTATTAATTAATTCTCTTTAACAGATTGCAGGTCAAGCGAACCCTCATTTGCAAAATAAAGATATATCTTTCTCTCTCCATAACTTGTTCTTCTCTCTGTCACCGAAAACCCAGCAAGGGTCCGGACGGAATGAGTGAATGAATGAATACCAAGATTATTTTAGTTAAAATGATATTGCTTAAAAAGTTGGGATTTCCAAAGCTAGTGTTGCAGGGATTATTCGTAAATATGATAAGGCTGTAAAGCGACTAATTTGACTGGACTATAAAATACTAAATGGACTAAGTTGAAATTTTATGGAGGAGTTCCAAATATGATAATGAATGATTGTCAAGTGCGAAAATCTTGATATATTGTTAAATAATTATTATAAAATACTTGCAAATAGTTAGAAAATGTGGGGTTAGGAGTGTCGGATTTTCTAACAAATTTTTATGCCTTTTATTATAATTATTTAACAATATATCAACATTTTCGCACTTCACAACCATTCTTTATCATATTTTAATTTAAAGGTCATATGACCTTAAACAAGTTAATCATAATCAATTTCTATTAACTCATGCTAAAAACTACTCCGTTGGTGCTACTCTTGTGCTGTTATTTCATTGAATATGTTCATGCAGAAAAATTTAATTCGAAAACATCTTGTTCCATTTATTTTATAATACCATTTAATTTCTTGACCCACTATGATTAAAAGAGTGCGATCGGTCAATACTTAAAAAATTTGTATTATATATATTATTTATTAATATTACAGAAATCATCTTGGTTGCATGTTTTCCTTGCTGAACTACTGATTGAAGTAAAAAACGGAATAGATATTCAAGACTTAATTTCCTATTTGTAAGTACAAAGTTCAAAATATACTTTTCATATTAGTTTATCATTACAAAGTTGTTTGTTTAAAAACAATATATAAGATTTTCTACAGTCAATATTATGCAGCTGATGGTGGGGCAAAATAATACAGTGCATAAATCTTTGTTCTACAATATCTCTTGAACTATAATAGAAAATTTATTACCATCAAAAGGTTTTCCTAACGGCGTGTTACTCTGGAAAAATGTTATAATACGGAATATTATAAAATGGTTCACTTTAAACATTAATAATTTAATAATTAGAACTTAATTCAACACAAAAAATGAACAAATCAATTATTTAATACTCCATTTATTCAAATTAATAGCATTTTTCATCAATCACTCTTAGTTATATGGCTATTTGTTTAAGAAAATACAAATTTTTCTTCTTAACAAACAGCCATTTTTTCCAAACGACTTGTTTGAAAATCCCCAGGTTGAAGTTGTAGAGAATCCTTGTTTGGAAAAAATACGCCGTATTACATTGAACTCGAATAATTTTTAACGAATTCTCTAGAAGCGGTACATATGACAGAAAGTTTCTGTATAAACAAATAAATTTTTTAGATTTAATATTTTTTTCTTGGAAACTGACATTTCTTTATTCAGGATGTACAATTAATAATATTATTTAAATTATTTAAATGTTAATTATTTTTTTCTGAACGTCTGCATTTCCGTGGATAAACGTTCTTAAGTGTAAAAAGTTTGTTTTTTAATTTAGAATAAAAATGATTGATAAAAAATTAGTAAAGATGTACATATTTTTCGCGTTCGCAAACTGACGTCTGCCTTAATAATTTATTTAATCATATTTTATTAACTTATTACAATATTTTGACTCGGACCAAACTAGACTGAGTTTGAACTGAATGTCCAGGAAGTTGGCACCGAAAATTTCGATTTTCAAAAAAACAAAACTTGTGCTACTTTGTACTAAAAAAAAATTTATTCCAAAATTAATATTTTTCTCAAAACTAAAAAAAAAGTTTATAATGCCTAAACCTAGTGGGTACACCTGCTCCAAAGACGTCATAAGGATGTCTTTTTTGACGTCTTAAAGACGTCCTAAAAATGTTCGATAAAAATTTTCATAAATTGGTAATGTTATTTTCTAACATGGTTGCCACAAAATCTAGATTTTAAAATTCCAGGCTTTTTCCATGTACATAAAATGTATACATTTTTTCACAATATAATATCACAAGTTTTATCCAATTGTTATAAAAAATATTTATGCGATAAAACCTCAAAAGTTTTAAATACTGTAAATTGACTATTTTACTTAATTATAATGATTAAATAACAAATCTTTCAACATTACAATAAATTTTTGTTAAAACTTTGGAACAAAAGTATCTTAAAAGTTAAATCTTAAAGATTCAGATAAAAAAACTTTGTCAAGTTTAATACTTTTTTAAATTTAACCTATTCGGTTTTTAGCGAGTTTTTGAATCTGATTCTCAATATCATCGATTTCTTTTTGATTTTCAAGCTGAATTTTTCTCTTTGTTTCTTTCAATTCTTAAATTTCTTCACCAATTCGTTTTTTTGCAAAGATTTTTCTACTTCAAGAATATTTTCTTTTTTCTTTTCTTGAACTGCCAAATCATACTGCATTCTTGAACCGCGGAATTTTGAGATCATCTTCGAATTGATTTCTACACTATCGACTCCCCCAGCAGCTTGTATCCCATCGTAAATTCTTCTTTGAGCTACAAGTGATTTCGGCAATTGATTTTAGACAACCAACTCTTTGTTGATAGCGAATCCTCTTTCTACAAATGCGTTTTCTTGGCTTATGAGCAACACCTTTTTCATAAAACTAATCAATGATTTTGAGACATCATTTGATACCCAAATAGTTTTCCAAAAGTGATCAAGTCTTTCAGTTTTTCTGTTGTAAGTTTTAATAGCATCAAGTACGGCTGATTTCTTTATCAATAAATTAAATTCATTCTCGATGGTGTCACACTCTTGTGCGGATAACCTCTTTTTTCCTAAAAATATTTCCAAAGTTGTTCGAAGACGATCTACACAAGAAGTTTTAGGTATTTTAATAATGCTCGGATCACAAAAAGTAATTGCCTTACATAATTTGTACTTTAATGGAGATTTTTCGAGCAGTTTCTGACAAAAGAGTATTAGCATAGTTCGACATTCGTTTTTAAACAAAGCTTTCTCTTTATCAGACGCGTCTTTGATTTTACGAAGCTCCGCTTCTGCAGAAAACCCGATTTTTATATGTCGTGAAAATATGAAGTTCTCTTTATTCTCAAGATCAACCTTATACACATTGCTATGTTTTTCTAAGACTTCCTTTTTCACGAACATATCCATCAACGTAGTCATAACGATCGTCAATTCTGTGTAAAGAAATGGTGCCAGAGGATCATTACTTTAGAACTCCGTTAGAAAAGGTTCGACAATATTAGCTACATGATCGAAGAAAGCCAGTTGTGCTCCAATAAATTTGTCTTGCAAAGATTCAGCGACAATCTTATAACTGCTTGAAGTTGGTTCCTTTTTATCTTTTTCGCGAAGAACATAATTTTTTTGGAAATTGCAAGCAAACGGAGTGAGTGATAAAATCATTTCTTCGAGAAGGTAAATCTTTGAAAAGATTATAAATCGATCGTAAAAATGAAGTAATGTTCCATCCTGTACCTTTAACGCCAGCTATCTATATCTTTTAAAAATTTTAAATTCACATTTGGTCCGTCAATTGAGATGTGTAATAGTTTTTTAAAATCCAAAAATTCTACTTCTGTTTTAAAAGCATCTAACAAGTCAGCAGCTGTAGCTCGTTTTAGAAAGGCAGAAGCGAAGTAATGTGTACACACTTCGTCATTATTTAAGCTCCAAAAACGAACGGCGATGTCTATCTGTTGCATTTGAGCTAATTTGTTGAGACTGTCGTCAAAATATGCAACATAGCAGTCACTATTAAGGATTTCATCTCGAATTTTCTCATGAAAGTAAGGTGACAATCCAAAAACACAAGCGTAAGATACTTTCGTTCGTCCCAATTGCATCTTTGAAGCAATTTCACTCTCTGGAAACATTTTAGGGAATATTTTTGTTAAATTGCCAGCAGCAATTAACGATAAGTGACAATATACACTTTCTAGGCACCATAAAATTTCTGCTTTGGTGACGTTGTCTTTTGTGAGATATTTGTCTAAACCGTTCATTCCACTTGTTTTTGGTAGATAATAATTGAGATTTAATAATTGTTCGTTATTGACATTCTGTTCTTGTCCCAACAGAGGCACCTTAAAAAGATTTTTTATTAAGTAAAAATTAATAAGAAAATATTACCTCACGATAGAAAGTAAAAATTTTAAAGGCGTTTATTTATTATTAGTAAAAATTATTTTAGTTATTCATTTTCAGAAAGTAGTAAATTGTCAATAAGATATTTAAGAAGCTGCCAATTTATTTAATTAAATTGAAAATATAAATAAATCTAAATTAAGTAAAAATCCCACCCTTACCTGTTCATTTTGACTACTGAATAAACGAAATCCGTAGCTGTTTTTTTTGCTTCTTCTCTTGACGAATGCTTAGTGCTTTTATTATGACTGTCAATTGAGCTTTTACCCATATTACTAAGAAAGATGTTTTTACTACATAATGTGCAATACGCGTAACTGTTTCCTTTGTTTGATTCTCTGATAAAATTATATCCTGGCTTTTCAAGCCATTCTTTTAAAAATCTCGTTTTACCCATGTTTTTCTGAGAAAAAAGGTTTCTGCTAAATTCGCATGAACATCATCGACCAAAAAAATGTCATCAGTAAGACTTTAAATTTTATATTTACTTACCACCAAAATTAATAAAATTAAAAACTTTTAAAATTGCACAAAATTTTTAAATTACATTATTATTAAACTAAATGTAATTGTATCGATATACAACAAAAATTTTGAGTTGACAAAAAAATATAGGTTATGCAAAGAGTGCAGATAACGAAATAAGATGGACGACTAGATGGAGAATAGGTATGTCGTTGAAAAGTACGCTGTTTATGAGCTAGAGGTCGGACATGTCATTGGCGGGCCATATGAACCATTTTTTGTTGACTGACTAGTAATATTTTAGAAAATATTACCTTGTCACATATTATAACTACGGTTTTTTAAAATCTTTAATTAACCAAAAAATATTCCACAATTTTTTTCAAATTTCATACCAAGGTATCTGAGTTCGACCCCAGCTTTATAGACAATTTTTCTTTAATTCTGTATAATTTTAAAAATATAAAATTGAACTTAAAATAAATTTAATACAGTATTACTGTGTTTTTACTTAGAAAATATAGTGAAAGAAATGTCTATTTAAGAAGATCTGAAGGGATGTGAAAAGGACGCCCAAAAAACGTCTTAAAGACATCTTTTAGACGTCCTTTTGAATGCCTTTCAGACTTTTAGCTTTATTCTTTTAGTTTTCTTTATTATGTCTCCGAGATTTTTCTGTAATTGTCCCCGGATGTCCGCGAACAGGATAAGACGTCTGCTTTTAGACGTTTTTAAGACGTTCATGTGCCGACTGGGAAGCTGTAAATTCAAAAAATTTAAAAATGAACTTTATTTTAAAAAAGAAACATTTCAAAAACACAAAACTTGTGCTAAATTGTACTACATTTATGCAATATTTCAAAACATTTAAAAATCATCAGTTGTGATAACTTCCTTTGAAGAGGTTATATACTGTAACACAAAAAAAAATTTTTAATTAAAATTTAATTTAAAAATCTTAGATTTATTTATATGGACACTTTTTAAAGAAAGATTTCTGAAAAATCAAAATTTCAAAAAAATATCACTTGTACTAGTTGTTCTTGGGTAGCACAACAAATTATACAAATGACTTTTTTTAGTAATTATTGTTTTGAATAAAAATCTAAATTACATTTGCTGCAAAATCTTTCGATGCAATAATTTGGTGTTGTTTCGAATAAATTGATTATTAGTTCA